AAAAAAAAAAAAAAAAAAAAGTTTGGTGCACTGAGCTCTCGTTATGCGCGAGATCTGGGGAAGGGCCAAAACGTCAGAGGCGGCTCGATATAATATGGGGCCTAAGGCAAAAATAAAAAGTGAGGCCTTAAACTTTTTAATTATTTTTTTTACTCTTATTATAACTTATCGAAATCTAAAGAAGTTATATTCAGTTTTAATTATTGCCAATGTCCAACCAATTTGTTTCATCTCTCTTGTGTTATCATGTTGAACTTTATTGATTTAGTTTTGAAAAATTTTTTCAACCGAGGCAACTAATATAAAAATTATTAACGGTAATTGAATTAACACTTTTAACGTGATTGAGTTTGCCAATTAGACTATTTTTCTACTTATACAGTTTCTCTTAGTGCTTCTAATTCTAAATATAAGTTGAAACACATAATACTGTAGTAACTATGTTTCAAGAGTCATTCAATGTTAAGGACGAATTTTAATAGTTACTTATCAAAGTAGCTTGAAAAATGTCTACAAATGCACTTAAAAAATTAAGAAAAATTGTTTTAAACTAACATTGTAAGAAGATCGAATTTTGGGACGAATTAAAGGCACGAAACAACTAGTAACTAAAATTTAAGACGTGAATTATTTTTAGCTATAACTATTTTAACCAAATAATTTAAAAATTCTATCAGTAGTGCATAATTATTAAATATTATATATATTATTTATAGATTTTGGGGCTTAAGGCTATTGCCTTAGTGACCTTAGGCTCCAGCCGGCCCTGCAGACCACAAATGTGTATTGTACGCAGTTTTACCGTGCATTTATGTAAAAGACCGTTGTTTCTACTGTCACAATCCTCCAAAAACTTGTATTTTTGCATTGATCTTTCTCTAAACTCTATCGACAACCTTTTGTTTCTTTTTCCAACCATTAATATTTCCTCACCTTATCTCTTCACTATAAGTAAACCCCCAATTATAGTCCATTCTTTACCTACAAAACCAGAAGAAAAAAAATTGGCAGGGACGACCTGAGGAACATAGACACAAGTGAACATTTAAACATGGAAAAAGTACTAGAATTATTCAGTTGCATTGTGGTTTTTGCCTTAGTTATAAATTATGCTGCTGCTGAAACCTATAATGTTGGAGGAAATCTTGGATGGACAGTTCCACCTGGTGGAGAAGCTGATTACCAAAATTGGGCTGCTAAACAAAACTTCAAGTCTGGCGATACTTTAGGTAAGCATATGACTAAATTCTCTAACTCAACTTTAGTATGTATTTGCCATATCTCCTACTCCCTACTGTCCATAATATATTTCTATTAATGAGAAGAAAGGCAGCAGTGCACTGAGCACCCTTTATGCGCGTGTTCTAGGGAAAAGTTGGACCACAATGGTCTATTGTAGTAGAGGCGAATCCATGATTTAAATTCTATAGATTCAATTTTTAAGATTTTTAATATTGAACCCATTATATATTTAAAGTTATGGGTTCAAATCTATTATTTTTGTAATTTTAATAAATTTTTACACATAAATTTCTACTCCGCGTCGAAAGTTATGGGTTCAATTGAACCCGTAACTCTCACATTGGATCCGGCTCTGATTGTACGCAGTTTTACCTTGCATTCCTGCGCAATAAACTATTTTTACGGTTTGAACTCGTGACCTCCTGATCACATTATTTATCTCTTCTTAGACGTATCGTTTAATTATACTCTACGGATAGGAAGAGTAAGGGTAGATCTGAAAAAAAATGTAATAAATGGCTACTTGTCTTTTTAAAGCGTAAATTTTTTTGAAACAAGTTCGGTTTGCCAAAACGATTAATACTTGGAATCAAATATAATATTTTACTAAAGTATGATTTGCATTATAGTCGTTTTTCAATTTGATTCCTCGATTACTGTAGTTTTGAGAAGAAGAAATACGGATATACTATTGAAGCCTTTTAATTAGATGGTGATTGCATGCTATCTAGCGGTGGAGTCCCGGGTAATCAATTTTGACACTTCTTTATCGAAAAATTACAGTAGGTAGTTAAATAAAAAAAATTATGCATACATAATATATGTTAAATCCCTCGACGTTTTTGTACGTATAGTTCCTTATACTTAAGGCTTAAAGCCAAACGTATACTTATGATTAGAAACTTATGATACTCCTTAATTAGTAGGCTATATATTGGCTGAATGCCTATTTCCTAACACTTAACAGTATGGTACTCCTTACTAGCTATTGGCCAAATATCCAAGTAGCAAAAGTTGAACAAACTAGAAACTAATGTTTGAACTTTGAATAGTGATGAATTTGAATTCCTAAAGTCAGCAATTAGCAAAAGTTGTATAGAACTGAAATATGGAAAAAGAGAATTTATTTTGTGCCTCACACAATCGACAACGTCAGTTGTGTAAGGTCTCTTTTTTGTTTCAAAATTTTGTGGATCCAAAAATATAAGATATGAATATGCAACTCATACAATTAGTGTCAGTTGTGTGAGTCATAAAATAAAAAAATATGAAAAAAAGTACATTGAACCGGATGAAATACTATATATGTTTTGTCACTATGCTCAAGATTGGACATCTTCAAAGAATATATTTTAGGTATCAAACATAAAGACTAATGTATGTAAAACGTAAACTAATTTTCTTTTCCTTTTTTTCAACAATTTATATCCAGTATTCACATGGACTGGAATGCACACAGTGGCTTATGTGAGCAAAGAAGATTATGAAAAATGTTCAACTACAAATCATATTCAAGGCACAAGCCCAGTAACCATTAGTATTAGTGGTACTGGCCCTCACTACTTCATCTGCACTATTGGCAAACACTGTAGCCTCGGCCAGAAAATGAACATCACCACCGCTGGATCGTCGGCTGCCGCCTCGGCTTTAGCCACCACTGCCTTGTCTACATTTTTGTTGATCTTGCCTATTGTCAACACTTTCATATAAAAATAAAATCTAAATTAATTCTATGTAATAATATCAAATCTAATTGTGATTAATATGTTAATCTTTGATTTCATTGTACCAAATAATAGGGACAATTTGTAATGAATGAAAAGCTTTATTAAATGGACCATTGCATGAGTTGTGCAGTGGCAATATCGAAAATAGAGTGTTTTACTGACCACTCTTCACTCTATAACTCCGCTAAAATCGGAAATAGAGATATTGACTACTTGATTTCAATAAGGTTTGGGCTAAACTTGACTTTGTTAGAAGGTCTATAGAAGTGACAAACTCACCTTCGTGAGTCATATTCCTGTCACGTTATTATATTTTTTATTTCTATTTGATGTTTTTCATTCATGTCCGGTATTTATATTAGAGTTCCGATTAATCTGAATTCGCATCGAGTAAATCTCATTAAAAGAAGAAGTACTCCCCATTAGGATTTTTTTCCTTTTCTAGAACTCAAACCCATGACATCTAGTTAAGAATGGAAGGATCCTATACATCTCATTACAATCTTGAATGATTATTCCTATCACTATCACCTTACCACATATATTTCCTCATTTCTAAATGCTAAGTGACTATATAGGCCACAAACAACCTTTTTTGTTCAAACACTTGATGATGAAATGAAATAACAGATCTCCAAAAAAATTAGCAAAGTAGCAAAAAAAAAAAAAAAAGAAGAAAAAAAAAAAAAAAAAAAAGCTTAGAAGTTGCTTTAATCTTTATTTTTCCGTCCAAAAATTGCATTAAATTGCAGGTTCAAATTCTAGACATAACATCCTTGATATAAATTACTGATTCCGCCGTAGAAAGGCTATAAAATGTGACAAATACACGTTGGTGAGTCCTATTCCAATCACTTTTTTTTCCTTTCCAAATCAATCACCTTATGACCTATATTTCCTTATTTCCAAATGCTAAGTAAATATAGGCCACACACAAACTCTTTCTTTTTCTTTTCCAAACACTTAAGTGATGATGAAATGAAATGACTAAAGTCGATATAATACGAGAAATGACTCTGAAAATATCCGATGGGTTGCATTTAAGCTGAAGTTGTAAGCCTGACGTCTTTTTCATGTCAGAGTATGTTCTTCCACTTTTTATTTTAAAAAAGTATGAAGCTCATAGTTTATTGCATATTCTGTCAAATAAGATTAAAAACATTATAATGTAAATAAATGGGAAAATACATAACTTGCTCCCTGTACATGTCCCGAAAAGTGAGTTTCTCGCTCAACCTTTACGGGTGTCGTTTTTTCTCCATGTACTTGTCCAAACTGAATTTATTTCCTCTTTAATAGATGACATGACTGAGAAATTATTTTCACATAACAAAAGGCGCTAACAGATAGTAAAATAGTCAAAAAGTGATTAAATAATATAGATGTCTTGTTTTCGTTGGCAGTCACACTAACTACATTAATTAGTTGTATTAAAGGAAATACTAACCTTTTTTCTTTTCTTATTCTTTTATCTTTGTTCTTCTCTTCCTCTTTCTTCTTTTCTTCTTCAGCTATCTTTCCTCCATTTTTGCCCATCTGCTTGCGTTGAGTTACCAGATGGGAATAACAAGTACTCATTTATGAACAAAAACAGTACCCTATTTACATAAGAAAATAAAAATTTATTTTGTGATGGAAAATTATTAAAGACTAAAACTGTCACGACCCAAAATCCTAACCTGTCGTGATGGCGCCTATCTCAGTACTAGACAAGCCGACAACATCAATAACCCACTATTTCCTTTAAATTTTAAAAAAAACGTAACGTTTAATACAATACCAAAACATCTAGCAATTTTCGATACAACACTCTCAAAACCTGGTGTCACTGAGTACATGGGCATCTAATATGGGTACAAGTCTGAAAAATACGGTCTATAATAGTCTGAGACCAAATACAGTAAACAAGGAGATAGAGAAGGAGAGACAAGGTCTGCGGAACACGGCAACTACCTCAAAATCTTCTGAAAATCAACTGCGCGAAATGATCAACACATGTTCAGGAACACCTGGATCTGCACACGAAGTGAAATGTGTAGTATGAGTACAACCAACTCAGCAAATAACAATAATAACTAAGGAACTGAAGATAATGACGAGCTGCACAGTCATAGTTCACTTTTAGTAGTTCCAGTAAAGAATAAACATGCTTTCAAAATCCGACAGTTTAAGTCAAATCAATTTTATACTATTTAATTTCAAGTAATCCTGATGTAAATTCTTTCAGAGATTTTACAACAATGGCAGATAACAACCAAGTACAACAATAAATGCAAAGCAAGTACAGCCTCTCAGGCAACAGTCACTCAACTTATCACAACAGCTCAACCACTCGGCTCTCAGCCCTCAGCATGCACACTCAATGGGTACCCGCGCTCACTGGAGTGTGTACAGACTCCAGAGGAGCTCCTACAGCCCAAGCGCCATAATCTGCACGGACAACTCATGTGCTGCACAGACAACTCACGTGCTATAATATCCTGCACGGACAACTCACGTGCCATAATATCCTCACCTCACCGACAGCCCCTTGGCCTTACTCAGTTCTCAACCTCTCAAGCCTCTCGGGCTCTCAGAAATCACAAAGATCAGCCCAAACAAAGATAACATAATATATCAACAAATATCCAGAAAGACTGAGGTATAATACGCAAGAAAAATCATGACTGAGTACAAGACAATAATTAGCAAATAATTCAACAAGTACGCGACCTCTACGGGTCTCAACAGTACTATAACATAGCCTAAGCATGATTTCTAACATGATTTATAGTCAAATATCTTCAACACATAGAGATCATATAGCTAACAATAAATTATTCAACTTTACAGTTTTTCGGGACATACCAAGTCACAATCTGCTCGGTGCACGCCCATACACCTGTCACCTAGCATGTGCGCCATCATCAAAATAATCACATGATACCAAAATCCGGGGTTTCATATCCTCAGGACCAGATCTATACTTGTTACTTACCTCAACCCGTGTAATTATTTATTCTGCTATACCATTGCCACGAGAATTGGTCTTCGAAAGTCTCGTATCTAACCACAATTAATTCGATTCAGTCAATACAAATTATTGTATTTAATTCCATAAGGAAATACTAATTTTTCCAATAAAATCCGAAATTAACTCAAAAATCGCTCGTAGGACCCATGTCTCGGAACCCGACAAAAGTTATAGAATATGAACGCTACTCCAACCACGAGTCCAACCATATAAATTCCACCAAAATCCGACACCAACTCGACCCTCAAATCTTCAATTAAAGCCTATGAAGATTTCTACCATTTTCAACGCAATCCTTACCCATTTGAACTTAACAATTTTTCCACAACCTTATTGGTATGTATACATAATACTCTTACACCCAAGAATCATACTATAAATTATCCATTTTTACTCCAAACCCGAAGTTGAAGGATTGAGGAAAGAAATTCTTACCTCTTTGAAGCCCTAGCAAGATCCTTGTGAAATCTTCAAATCTTGAATAAGAATTGATGGATAAATGACTAAATTTTCACTTTCTCTCTCTAAAATGTTCTCACTTCTCTCTAAAATATCAGATTTTGGCTCAAAAATGAGTTTCAAGGGCTATAAATCGAAGTTGGGTCGGGTCAAAAATTAGAAAGAATGGAAGCTCTGATGCAGTTATGCGATCGCATAACATGTATGCGGTCCGCATACCGGCCGCATAATTTGTCCTCTAAACCTGGGCGTTACTGACCCGGTCTGCGGTCATTATGCGGTCCGCATACTTATTTTGCGATCGCATAATGCACCGCAAAACAGGTATGCGGTCGCATAGTGCACCACTGATTTTTCTAAAACCTTGCCCCTCTCCCGATCCACTTTGCGACCATTATGTGGTCCGCAAAGTGATTCTGCGACCGCATAGTGGTCGCAGAAATGACCTTTTTTCGATATAATTTTCCTTTACACATCGGTGCACTGTTCAACCCAAAAAATCCGAGCCTTAATTTCCTTAGCAAAATTTCTCCGGGGTCGTTACACATAAGTAAACATCCGCATCACCTTTTTAACTTAAATTTTAAACCATGGAACTAAGTGCTTCAAATAATTTCAAAACCTCACCGGACCCAAACCAATTACCCCGGCAAGCCAAATAACAACTGTAATTTACAATTTGAGCAGTAAATGCGGAAATGGGGCTGCAATAGTCAAAACGACCGGCCGGGTCATTACAAAAACTTGAGAGTCTTAATATCACCTCATTTTTCAATATAATATCTCCTCATTTTTTAATTCATCTCTTTAAAATCACAAGTTATACCACACACATTATCATCATTCACGTTAAGATTACACCTTACTTCCAAAATCGCTCTTCATTCTCCAATTTTGCTGGAGTAATGTTTCTTTATCTTATTAACCCAAAAAATATTTTTTTTAGCTTATTGATTGACAAGAACCAAATAAAATTGCAGATGATATAATTCAACAAGAACAAAAGAGTATGTGGGTTCTTTGAGTTGCCGGTGTTCAAGCGCTCAGCAATGTTCTTGCAGGGAATATTATTTTGGATTTCTTTGTGAAATTTTTACGCTGGGATGAAATTAAATTAAATGGAATAAACGGGTTATGATAAATATTTGGGTATATTAGGTAAAATATTATTATTTTAATTAATTATATTATTAGACTAATAATCATTTAAAAAATAAAATTTATTATGTGGCATCATCAGAGGGCGAGTGTATGCCACACTCGACATACATCCTGGGAGAGGGCTTAGGAAGGAGAAAATAAATTTGATTTGGACAAGTACAGGGAGGAAAAACGACACCTGTAAAGATTGAGTGAGAAACTCACTTTTCGGGACAAGTATAGGGAGTAACTTATGTATTTTCCCTAAAAAAATAAAATACGGTTGCACTAGCTTAGGTTTTCAATTTATGATTCTAAAACCTATCAAAGTCAATCTTGGTTCTTATTAATCAAATGCGTCTCAATCTCAAAAATATAATCGACTATATAAAACGTCTATAAGTTTACATCCATTTTATTCAAACTTGTTTCTTTCCAACACTAAATAATTTATATTTTAGGTAAATAAAGGATATTCAAAAATAAAAATAAAGGTTCTGTAGAAGTCACATGTCACGACCCCAAATTCCCTA